GCTAATCCACCCTTGATTAATCCCGCTGCCGTCGTCGAGCAGCGCGCTGCTTCTTATCGGTGAAAATCTGACGGCGCTGAGAAGAAACGACTCGGCTCGGCATAAAAAGAAAATCGGGCCAAGATGGAGCGCGAGAAGGGAGACAAAACAAGAAAAAAAAAAAAAAAAAAATTCCGACAATTATTCCCAGCACCGGTTAGCCCATAATTAGGTCGGTTAAACGAGACGCGCGACGTTCCCTTATTTTTTTCTTTCGCGCGCGCAATCACCCTTCTCTTATTAAGAATTCCTAGAGGTGGATAATTAAAAAACAGATGTTTTAAGAGCTACCATTGTGCGACGATGCCGTCGCAGAAGCGACAAATCCTAGAGAATTTGGAATATATCGTCTCGATGAGAATCCGGAGGGGGAGTGTGAGTTGTTAAGCTTGAGGGGGAAGAATGCGAGGAAGAGAGAGAGAGGAGGGAAGGACCTCCGGACTACGTTGGCTTCTACACTTAATCACTTTTGCTAATTGCAGAATGATTGCTCCGCGCTTGAAGTTTCAATAATGGGGTTGTTACACCCCCGGCGAGGACCGCCTCTCTAGCGCCGGTTATATAGCGGGACCCAGGGTGCCCGTGCCTGTTCATACCTCCTTCATCTTCACCCTCGCCACCTGGAGTTCCGCCTCGCCGTCCTCGCCTCCTTCAGGTTCCTCCACGTGATGAATGTTATAATAGCCTACCTGCCTTCGGGTGATAAGAAAGTAATCATTCCATCTGCCCACCGTTATTTCATTATCTTCTTCTTCTTCCCTTCTCTCTTCCCCTCGGTCTTTGCTCTTGGAGTGGCTCCACGTTCTTATCCGTTGCACCGGGTATCAGAAAGCTGCTTCTTAATGACGGTCGACGTAGTAATTATGCAATTATGCGCGAAAGTAAAAACTCCCGATGAAATCGGTTGGAGACCAACCGCTGCTGCAATATCTGCGGCTTAACGCTATACAGATATTTATCTCTCTTCTTCCAAAGAGCGACCATTAAAAATCGTCATCGGGTATTCAAAAAGAATTTTATTCCCACCAGATGTGAAATTAGGTTTCATAATGCTAAATAAATTTTTTAATGCGATTAAAGCCGTGTAAAGATTAAAAAAAAAAAGTGTTCTTTGCTCGCGAAATGCTGCGAATTATCGATGAGCAATTATCGAGGATTATATTCCATTTTCTGATTTGCAGGATTTAATTCGACGAAATAATTTTTGAAACAATATTGATTGCGCGCGCGATACAGTGTGTATGTGTGTGTGTGTATGTGTGTATGTGTGCGTGCACGCGCGCGCAATTTGTGCAAGAAGAAGAACAGATTGTACGATCTATCGATTATCCATCAGCTTGTGCGAATATTTCGCAAAAGCGGATTGCGGTGTAAAAATTCGACGCGATCTTTTTCAACTTGTTTTCTGTGAAAAATGTTATTCTAAAAATACTTACTCGTTACTTCAAAGTACACGAAAAAAGAAAAAAAAACAAACTAATGGTAATTATATTAAGAGCTTTTTTTCGTCTTCCTCCTCATTCTCTCTTTTCCCAAGCTTTTTCTAAATTATATTAAAATTAATTGGATTCGGGTTCTCTATTTTCTTTCGCCATTAAGCATGTGAGAGAGCGTCTAAATAAATTAAATATTAAATAAAAACTTAAACCCACGATAAAACTCCCGGTAAAACAATACCGATTGAATGTGCGTGATCGACTCTAATTGGATCCCGTGGCTTTAAATTGGTCTGTTCTCGGACCGATACAACGTAGCTGTGTGTTCGCGAAGAACAATGGGCTTAATTTAATAGAATACGGCCCGGTGTGGTTTAGGTTCCGATCGTCCACCGGTGCGAATCGATTTAAACGCCGCCCGTGTAACTATAATCCAATAGTAGATTACACATCCGGTACGTAGGACCGTATACCAATGCTTTCCGCGCGCAGGGGGTTAATAATTCGCTGTCAAGCGTAATCAATTGCGTCGAATAAAACTAATGTAATGCGCGGATACTTTATATATATATATAGGTGATGTTCTGCGCGCGAAATACGATTCGCTCTAATTTTGTCTTTGTCTCTCTGATTTCGGAAACTTCTAACTTGTGTAGTGAAATAAAAAAAAAAAAAAGTTAATTTTTTTGGCTTCTGCGATTCAATAAAGCGAACGATGGCGCTAAGTATAATTAATCGCGACTCTTGCGATGTGTATTTTTATTTCTTTTTTTTTCCTAACAAATGTTGGGCTTTACGAGACGTCTGATTACGTGCGACCACATTATGTTTCTCGAGCACGCAATTACGGCGAGAGAAGCGATATAGAATCTAAATCGCAACAAAATACTCCGGGCGCCCTCGCAAGTTGCGTGCGAGCACGCATAATGAGCGGGCGTGTGTTTGAGCACCTTAATCGAATAAATCGTAGGTCCGTGTAACGCTGATAAGTAGATACCCACGCGCACACACATACACACACACACATACAGAGTATATATACATATATGTATATATATATATCTTCTTCTCTCTCTTTCGCGGCCGTGCCGCGCACGATAACGAAGAAATATGACGAAGATTGCGGGGTAGAGGGGTGAAATCTGGCGTACCGCAAACGGGCGAAAATGTTGCGCGACGAATCGACCGGAATAAAAAAAGAAGGCGGACGAGCGTTTTACACTCACGTATATATGTATATATATATATATATATACATATATACGTACACGTGTTGTACCCGCGTGCGTCGTTTAATAAACTCTTGCGTGGCTAGCGCGCGATGGCGTGCCATTTCCTCCGACATAAATTTCACCGCGGAGAAAAGCGAGAACGCGGCGAAGTGTGTGTTTCTGGATTGCAACTACGACTCTCTCGCGTTAAGAAATCAGGCAAGGCGGCACTTCTTGAGAGAGCGCGTTTACCTTCACGTGTGAGAAGGAAGGTATAAACAGTGCACAATTCACATGACGAATGAGCGAAGATGAAAAAAAAAAAAAGAAAAAAAAGTTCGCACGCGTTCCACGCGCGGGAATGCTAATTGCAGCGCGGCTAATTGCACCGCTGTTACGACGCTAAAGTGCCGACGCGATCGCAGTTGCGTCACACGTGTCACGCGTGCGCGCGACACGAGCGTGCGTGCGCGCGAACCCATTTCCGAGACTTGTCCGCCGTTGTCGGGCCGATACGCGCGTTTATCAGTACCCGTAAGTTTTGATTATACTCGCGTGCCGGGATGTCATTACACGTCGTCCGTCTCGCCCCCCACGGATCCTCCTCAGCGTTAACACATGATGAAGAACGCACGGGTGTTTGCACATCTGTTTCGTCTGCTCCCACCTACAGGATGGTCTCCGAATTTATTCATGTCGCTTTGTATTGTTATGCGTAAACCAGACGCACACCCACACAAACAAACTTTTATAAACTCTTTCTATGTGGGACTCTCATAGACTATAAGTCTCTTCGAAATAAAGCGAAAACTTCAATCGGAACTATTCGACACTTAAAAAAAAGATTAGATCTTATATCATTACAAAAACTGTAATAGTTTTTATTTTTAATGTTAGTTTTATATTTTTTATACATTTTTTAATAACAACTTTTTATTAGCCAGAGGGTCGAATGTGAACGCGACAGTAGTTTGTAGTTGTGAAACACCCGCATTGTACAGACAAATGTTTCGGATATGACATCGTGTGCGTTCCTCACGTGTCATCACGCTGCCAGATTTCCGAGCCGACACGTCCGGCTTGTCGCTTACGCGAGTTGTTTATGCCACTAATAATTTATCGTCCGCCCTTGTAATGCGAGCCGCTGACCCGCTGGTCGACGGCGGGTTTTGCAAAAAAAAAACAAAACAAAAACAACAAAAAGAGAATAATACAGAGAGAACGCGCTGCACGAGAAGCTTCGCTCAAGGCGAGAAAGGGGAAGGTCTGTTTGTTATCTCTCGCGAGAGAGACGAGTGGATTAAGAGGATGACTTACAACTTTTGTCAGAGTTGTAGTTCGTGTGATAAATTGAGTCGTCGGACAGAACGCGGAAAATAAATCACATTTAGCAAATATAAGCGGAAGTAACATTTCGTTTTTGTCAATCATTGATATTTATGTTTATCACGTTTACAACGCGCGATTATTTTTGTCTTTTTTTTTTTTTATGTCCGCGGACGTTGAATAGGCAAACTGAAATATATATGCGAGAGATTCTGCAATTCTTGCGTTCTTGCTGCGTCGTTCAGATTTGCGATGACGACGAAGGATTCGTTAAGCCGGGCTTTCTCGAGATATCGATCCTCGCGGACGACGTGAAGAAAGTTAAATTTCTCAGAGGAGCGCGCCGCGCCGGAAAACGCGAACGTCGCTTGTGCTGCCTAAGACGGAAGTATCGGCCATGAGACGACGGGGGTTGGGAGAGAGGGGGAGAAGACAGGGTTGCGTCGGGGTCCCTGGTGTACGCGACCTGGCGAAACGAGTTCAAAATCCCTTTTACCGAGCGAAACTTGACGCGCACCGGACAAGGCACGGACCGGCCGGCGCGACCAGCCGGAAAAGTTGAAATTATAAAAATTTCAGATTTCTGAGCGGTTGACACGTGACACGACGATTCATACTCAAACAGAGAAAATAAGAATCTCATCTCTTGGGAATTCGCGACGGAATTTCTTCCGTTTGCTTCTCGGATGCTTGCGCACGAGATGCGACATAAGCTGCAAATGTCTCGATAAAACCACTACAACTTTCAGTTGTATTTAATTTTTTCTTTCTTACATTAAAAGTTTCCATTTTAAATGAGGCGTACAATGTAATATAACGTTCAATTTGATCGTAATCTTAATTACGAATCTTTTATTTTAGATTTTTTTTTTTAAACAATATTTATGCGCATTTTTTCTCTGTCCTGTGTTGTGCCTGATGATTTTTTTTCTATCTTTCAATTATCAAGTTTTTCTCGTAATGAAATATAACATTTTGTTTTTTGCAGGACCATCGTTCTGGGGTTTGATAAATCCGCAGTGGTCTCTGTGCAGCAAAGGAAGGCGGCAAAGTCCTATCAACATCGACCCGAATAAGTTGCTCTTCGATCGTCACTTGAGACCGGTGCACGTCGACAAACACAGGGTAATCTATCCAGTCTCTTAGTTCTGCAAAATAGCACCGTAATTTGCGAGTTTGTCTCTTTTTTTTTTTTTTTTTTGCCCTTGGGACACATATTCAATGAAAACGATCAGAGAACCTCGAGTAAAGAAAACGTCACTTAAAGCTTCGCTAAAAAGAGAGAGCTGCATTCAGCTTCGAGAACAAATGTTCGATCGATATTTTCATCGACGAATAATAATAAATTAGATACATAACGCGCGAGGTTTACATGAAACAACTTGCTCGTAACATTATGCGTCATACATAGAACACATTTGTGACGACATGTTCTGATTTTGTATGCGCAAAAATATTTGTATACTCACTGCGCAGCTTTAAATTTCAATGATGGACGTTTCGGCGAAAATTCGCAGCGATATTTTTACATTATTTATTGCACACTTCAGTTTTACATTATTTACCGTAGTTTATCAATTTCACAACAAATTAAAATTTAATGCCGCAACAGCGCATATTCTGTACTACATCACCGCGTGTTCGACCATATGTATATATATATATATATATACATGTATATGATCTCAGAAAAAAAAAATGTACGAAAGAAGTAAATCTCGAAGTTTGGTCTCATTTCGTGTGCACGTCTACTTCAAATGAAGACGAAAGAGTCGTCTGATGGGCGCTCGTTAGTACGGATGGAGCCATGCCGGCTATTCCTCCGGTAGAATGATTAAATTGCTCGGGTTTTTGCGTGGCGGACGGGTAATAAGCGAGAGAAAGAGAGAGAGAGAGAGAGAGAGAGAGAGAGAGAGAGAGAGAGAGAGAAAGAGAGACGAAGAGAGGGAGTCTCATTGATATTAACGATTCGGAAACGCGCTCACTCATTACAAGCATGATACACCGTGTGCTCTGAATACCGTTTGCTTGTTGACTGCCAGGGCTGTAATTATGTGTCACACACCGTTATGTATATTATAATCGTCGTTTTCATCACAAAATCATATACGTATGTGTAACATACGTGTGAGATTTTATATATATATATATGTACATATACATATATATATATGTATATATGTACATGTACTTATACACGTGTAAATACATATACAAATGGGGTCAGAATAAAATTATAGCATTATGATAATTATTTTAATTATTTGAAACTTGCAGCAGATTATTTCGGGGTAAAATGAGATATAAATGATATCGAGGCGCAAAAAATAAAATGCAATAGACGTTAATGATATTTCATAATTGCGCAATATATACGCGCACTCGTTCTCTCTCCCCCAATGAACAAATATATATGTATATAATTCTGTTTAATATTAAAATAGCTGCACAAACGTTCGTTTTGCAAAATTTTCTAACTTTTATTACGACGTGCTTTACTAGAGTTTCATGTTTTTCTGGGTTTTTTTTTTTTTTTTTTTTTTTAGGTGGGTATTCTACAATTCTTCTTATTTGAGGGAAATGAAAGAACCGCGACAGACAGACGAGCGTGATGTGTATTTTTGCAATTTATGAAGAATTTAAATGCAAAGTTAAAATTGTGTGTTAGTTCTGGTGTGAAAAATTACATGTAACAGTAGATTTAAAAATCGAAACGCGCTGCTGACTCGCGGTAAGAATTTGCATCGAGATATTAAGACTGACACGTTTCATTAATACCGAAACTAAGTTAAAATTAGAATGTCGGGAGAATGATTCATTTTGTGCGGGACACCTTTCTCGAAAAGCAAGAATGAAATCACGTTGGTTACCGTAGAAGTATTCCCTAAGCTGTCGCGTGGTAGTAATGGATTTGGAATTCACCAACGAGAAAGAGAGAGAGAGAGAGAGAGAGAGAGAGAGAGAGAGAACTCTCTGCTCCACTTTCTCACTGTTCATTTTTCACTGGCTGAGTTCGTTGATTTGATAATAAAGCCATTAATTACGAGGCCACCTATTTAACGCTGATTTCCGCTCCATCAGTGAAAATGCCTTCGAAGAACCCCGGAAAACGCTAATTTTCCATTAAGAAAACATTTATTCATCGTACCACGCGTTCGCTGAAAGCCACTCGGACCCGATAGTTTTTCAATAACTTTTTGACAAAAAATGAATTATGAAAAAATAAAATGGTAAAGTATTACGTAGGAAAAAAATGTGCAAAAAAACGAACATAAAAATATAAAAGTTTTATCATTAGTTCTTTCAAAGGAGATGTAACATTTTATATTTTCGTATAACCCCTCTCCCCTCCTTCTCTCCCTTCCGATATTCGTTATATTTTAAACTTTTATCTATCTGCATGTACAAGTGATTCATGCATGCAGTATGAGTGCATTGAAGAATATATTGAGAGGTCGAAAGCCGTTTATAAATGCATGAACGAAAAGTCTCTGTAAACTTTCGATATAGAAGAAGTATGAACTTTCGATGGTAGAATGGAGAAGAACTTGCGCAACGCTGCACGCGATTTTACATCTCCATTTATATTCTCATTGATATCTTTTTACTTTCGGCACGCACAACTACTCTATAATTTGAATTTTTACGAAAGATAAAAAAAAACTTATGCAAAATACGCGGTAAATTGTGGAGAGATTCAATGAGAAAGAAAAATACTAACCATTAACGTTCGTTTGCATATTTATATAGTTTGCGCGCATAAATAACACACGCACACACACGCACACACAGTTCATAAAACCAGTTTTGTTTATTATTTATTATAGGCATATTTTTCTGGCAAATTTTCACAACTCGCTGCGGAAAAAAAATTATCTCTTTGTTTGATCAGATAAATGAGAAATATAAGACATATGTACAAAAAAATTCTGCAATTTAAAATTAATAATACTATCGCGCTGTAACAGAGAAAATGTGTAAATTCTGTTTTGTGAACCTTTTTTTTATTATTTCAAATCGGCCGTGACTTACAACCGCGTCTCTTACTTTACATGCTTTTCCGAATTGCCCCATTCAATTTTGACGATTTCTGTTCTGTTTAACGTGGCCGCCGGGGATATTTTTATTTTACCAGTGAGGCATGTTATATCACTCTCTTTTTTATTCTCTCTCTCTCTTTCTCTCTCTTGTGTTCAATGTGTTGCCTCGATTTTCCACGGAACGTGTACCAGCGCGTTGGCGTGGTCGCGGCCTCGGAGCGTTATTTCTCAGAAACGCGAACATGAAAAATGCTCAGCTACCGTGACAATGCCTCCTCTTCTTGAATTCGCATTGGATGCCGGGTTTTGCAGACGAATATATCCCTCCTTCTCTCTTCCTCTTCCCGACTCGACTAGGTGCCCGCGCGCCGTCCGTATTTCGCCGGTTTCCCCATGCGCGCGAGATGCTGACCGAAAACTCTCGAGCGACGATATTGCCCGCGAAAGGATACAATAAATACGGCGCGATCGCGACAATAACTCTTTTGTACCAGATGCAAGCGACCAGAGCCGGCTTGCGACGCGGAAGATATTATTGCGCTTCGTCTTCGTGTCTCTCAATGTTGACTCTTTTCATCGCGCGTTGCATATCTCGCGTGAAGTAAACGCGCGCCTTTCATACATTCCGCAATCTCTTTATTGCTTTGATAACACGGAGCTTTTTGATAATAATTTAATAAAATACACAACGTCCGGTTTGTTCGTATAAAAAATTATATTATAAATTAGCGTGCAATTTAGAGCAAGTTGATAAACTTAATCGTAAAAAATCTATTTTCATTTTTTATGTATTTTGTATGTTACTTCTGTTATTTATATTTATTTTTCCGCAATTGTCATGCTTTCTTCGTTCGCGCTGTTATTTGTTCAACAACCTGCTACTTGTCCACCGATCGTATCTAAGGAAGTCGTAGATATGATACTTATTTTGCTTCCTGTTCCTGTTTCCTGCCGGAAAAGAAAGAAAGAGAAGAATAAGAGAGAGAGAGAGAGAGAGAAGAGATAAGGGAGAAAAATGCGCATTCTTCGACTTCGCCAAGCGTAGTCAGACCACAAAGTGTCTTCCGCGGAAATGCACATGAAAAGGTTTAAACGCGGTCCCGAGGTATCGTTTGCCCTGTCGACGTTCCCCTTCTCACGACGCGATCTCGTTTCCATTGCTCTTTTCGTTTGCCCGCCCTCGTCGTAGAGTCAATCTTTTCCACCGGCACCGCCAGTAGCTGTATTCTCACAAACTACGCTGCATGAGCACTACCGTCGTCGACGTCGTCGTCGTCGTCGTCGTCGTCGTCGTCGTCGTCGTCGTCATCGTCGTCGTCGTAGTCAGGATGTATTCTGTTGCGCTTTGAAACGAGCTACGGACGGGACTCTTCATTGTTTGCGTACTCTCTCGGCAGGCAGCTCACGGGGAAAGCGCTAAAGAGAGTTCTCTGAAGTATCCTCTCGCCTCTTGCCGCGCTGTTAACCACGTCGACGCCGTCGTCGCCTCGTCCTCGCCTCTTTCATTGAAACAAGCGGCGTGAAACCGCCGAGAAATCACATGCGGCAACGACGACAAACACAGAGGGGAGCGCGAAATTTTGAACATTTTATTTTACACAGAAAATAAATCACACATCTCGAGTCACATGTCTCGGGACAAAAATATGTTGAAAATAAATCTGATGAAATAAAATTACAAGGAAAGAGAGAGAGAGAGAGAGACAGAGAGAAAGAAAGAAAGATGGAAATGCATTTTATTTACTTGTCTGTGAGAAAATACGTGTGCGCGCGCGCGCGCATTGTCCCCTTTAATTTCTTGCTGAGATCCGAGTGTGACTCTCGATTTGTCGGGAACAAAACGAAACTGGGCTTCGTGCGGCGGAAACCGCACTGACGTCACACCTGGTCCCGCGCTATTTAAACGCGGTCTCGGTCCGTTTCATAGCCGACGCCAGCCGGCCAACCTCCCCCGACGAGGTCGTGCGGGAGGGAGCCTCGTGAATTTATACGCCGTTTAACCCGGTTAAAACTTTGGCACTTAAATTAAACAATAGAACGAACCGCGCGCCCCGACACCTCCTGGAGTCGAACGTACGTCTTCGGCTCAGCGGAGCTTGCGCCAGCCGTTTCATCTTTCCCTTTCCCTCGCTCTTCAGTTCGCTCCTTTGTGTTCTCTGGTCCATTCTCCCTCTCTTTCTCTTTCTCGCTCTCTCGCTCTCTTTCTCTCTCTCTCTCTCTCACTCGGACTTGTTCGATGTGGACAGTTCGACTGCGAAAACGTCTATAGATCGTTTTGCAGCACGGCAGTGTGTGGTAACCAGTCGCAGATACGATAGATACCATAATTTCACAGTAGAGATACTCGCGTTTCGAGCGAAATCTAATTCTCTCTGGTCATTTTCTATCCGACTGTTTTTCACAGTTGTCTTATCTGCTGCGATTCAATAATGTTATAAAAAACAACATTTAGAAATCTTTTATTTCTCAAAATTAAAGGCTTTGTAGAAAATAATTTACAGAAGCTTTGTGTATTGTATTAATTTCACCAAACTAGAATGTTAGATGAACGTTTTCGATAAGTTCTTTATATCAAACTAGATTTTAAAACTATATTTTTTTGAAGATAAAATATTTATTAAAAGAAAAATGTGTAAAATGTTGCGTGTACTTAGACTGTTTGGTTTAAAAACAATTGAATGCTCGTTGCATCTCTGACAAAAAATAAAGTACAATTGATTGACTCACGTGACAAGAATTTTGTAAATAAATTTTAAACCTGTAATTTGTAATACTAGCACAACACTACGCGCACGCTATTATTCTTTTTAACGTATTTTAACGTATTGTGTCAGTGAAACACATCTGTCACCGCGATGACAACTAGTATATACGTCTTACAAACTATATAATACAAATATAAAAAATGTCAGAAATAACGCATGAAAATCAAAATCAAAAAATAGTGAGTGGAAGGAGTGAAAAAACAACACGTGACTAAAGTCACATTAAAACGACTTTTGACGAAAGGTCAATGACCTTTGTCGAGAGGTCAATGACCTTTGTCGAAAGGTCAATGACCTTTGTCGAGAGGTCAATGACCTTTGACAAAAGGTTACTGATTTAAAGTAGTTACGTAATTGTAGTCATGTGGTGTTTATTCTCTTATCTTTGTCACGTGACCTTACTTTAATCACGTTTTTAAAGACACGTGGCTAAAGTACAGTCACGTTTCTTTAGTTACGTGTTGTTTTTTTTTACTTTTTCCTGTCACGTGACCTTACTTTAGTCACGTTGTTAATTTTCTCCACCTATACGACGAACTGTCTCAAAATTGCTTTTCTGTCATCATTCACTCTCTCGATCGATCGATTCGATTTAACTCGACTCGATCTACCAACTAATCAGTCGGCAACGCGGAAAAAAGATATAACAATATATGCGATACATCCGACTCTAAAACGTGCAATTCGCGGTACACATGGATTTTGTTATGAGGGATAAAATACCTAAAAAATCTTGTGAGTTATCGCCAAAAATCTGTGCGTGCATTTGGCGAGGTACTCGTGGTAATTTTATCGCAACAAGTGATCGAGTAGATTTTGATTGAACGGCACCGAGAAGGTCTTTGCGAAAACCTGCTTCTATCTCCGGCGCACACCAAAGCCGCGCCGCTAAAGGCGCTCGTCGATACCACGGTACGTTTCTTCGCACCGAGAACACTTCTCTGCAAAACCGTTGAATTGTATGTGCACCATTCCTCCCCGGCTTGTGATCGCCATAATCGAAGCTGTAACGAGCGCGTTCTCTTACGTCGCGTCGGAATTGCCAATTCCCGCGAGCGTGTACCTCCGCGTGGCCGCGCGCGCGCTATAATTGAAGCCGCAAGTTCCTCGATAAACTCTCGATTGTGTGGGAAGAGACAGTCGTCGCACAAATCGGCGTAACCGCCGTATAAACAGTGAAGAGGAAAGGGTTCGGAATGTCTGTTAATTCGCGAGAAGTTCGCGCGCGAGCGAGAGAGTTCCCGCCTTTCCGAATTCCACGGGATGGACGTTACGTGCTTCGCGTGCGGACCGATTTCATCCGACTGGTGGTTGCCTTAATTTGTGTTAATTACCCGGACGGAGTGTTGCCTCGCTGTGTATTGGGCTTTTGCGAGTCTTTCGTGGCGGCGCGTTTCCACTACTTCCCTCCCTCACCCCGAACTACTGCCTTGATTTCGCGTTTCACGCGATAGCTTAATTGTACTCCGTTGCGAGGTCTCTCCGGTCCGGTCGCGAATCTCGTTTCGATCGAAAACCGCGCGGCAACGAGGCGATACAACGATTCGAAGACAAGTAAATCCCATGTTTTACGATATCCTAAATTTTCCGGGGACGTAATCGCGTGAGTGCAGCTTCGAATTTATCGAGTTTCGACAATCTCATAAACACACTTTGCGATTGAGCTCTCGCTTTAGATACATCAAGAGACGTTCGTGCTCTTATAACTAACTAAGCAGCTCTCGACGCATTAACTCGATTATTTTCCCGCAAGACTTCGTCTAACAATAGACATTATCCGAAAAAGCAAGTTGTCGAGAGATACGGGCGGGAGCGTTAATCGTGAAACATCGCCGAGAAGTCGATAAACTTTAAGAAGATTTGATTTCACGCGCTCTTCTCTCTTTTACGTTTTTCTTCTTTGCTGTCCTTTTCTTTCCGCCCGAGTACGACGTTGTCGTGAATTTCGCAGTTCCTGCTGAAAAACAAAACGGGAGGTAGAGAGCGCGGGTGTGTTGAAACGACAGGCGCGAGAATGCGCAATGACGATTGTTCGGACTTGAGCCGGACGACTTTCCGGAAACGACCGGCGGGAGAGTTTAGAACGTGGGCGTGGGGATGGAAGATGATCCAATCCTCCTCGAGACCGAACTCTCTCTCTCTCTCTCTGAGTTTTGTCGAAAGAAAGGCGGCCTTTGTGTGCGCCTTTCGGTATCGCACGGAACTATCGTGTTCCGCCGCGAGTTCTCTTCCGGTTTCGCTCTTTCTTCTTGAGAGTCGGACCCATTGATCCCCAAGTTCGAAGACGATGGTGAAGAAAAAAAAAGAAAGGCAAATAAAGGAACTTCGAGCCGACGAAAAAAAAAAAAAAAAAGACAAAGAAAAAGAGCGCGCGGAGAGAGTAGGCGGACGAATTATTTCTGGAGGAGACGATCGAAGGGGTGGAAATCTATCGCGAAATAATGAGTTATGCACCATTGATTTTTCTCTCTTATGCGTCGGGGAGGCAAAGCGTCGTCGCGCTTGCCTGGCTCGCGTTCATTTCTCTCTGTCATCGCGACGCGAGGATGTCTCTTAATGAATTCGCGAGGAAACAGACGATGAAGGGTTTGCGAGAAGTGAGATTAACGATCGGTATTAGCGCAATCGGCGTGTTTAAATTTAGATTTTTTGTTCTTCAAACTCTGTAACATATCATATAAAATGTCGAAGCTAGCAGAAGTACGATTTTCATACGTATAATGCAAAATTTACTTTAGTTTTGTTTCTTTAACTCGATCTCTCGATCTTTTCGAAAGAATCGTTAGAACAGAAAGATTCTATATCGATATCAGAACCTTTTGCGTGTGAAAGAAGATAGAAGGGGATTTGTGAAGATGGCGAGAAGATTTTTGGGGAGGGAGAGAGAGAGAGAGAGAGAGAGAGAAAAAGTGAGAGGTCAGAGACCAAAAATCTATTGCAAAATAATAAGTTATCTCCCGACGACTTTTGCCGACGTGTCTTCCGCGGCTGGCTTCTCCCCGAGGTTACCTCATTATTTCTAACTGATGACGCCATAATTCAGGTTCTCGGCGACGTACAAGAAAATGGACTTCCCTCCCCCCAGCCTCATCTTGCACTTTGCCGAGCTCCTGTGCGACATGGCACCGTGTCTGGTTTTGCTATTCCGTCCAATTAAATGCCTAATCAATTATCCCGCGAACGACGAGTTGCCGCCCTTTCTTGTAGACATCTTTGCAACCGCGCTCTTGCGCACCTCATTACGATAAGGCATGCGGGAGAGCCATTGTTTGCGAATCTCCGTTCCAAAGTGCGGCGAATTAGCATCAAAAATTTCTGCACGTTAGTGCTCTCTCTTTCTCTCGCTCTCAGAAAAACTCTGTTCTATGTTTAAGAAAAAAAAAAGCGGAAAACGAAATCAATTTAAACGAAGTTTTTTAATTGGGAAACGTGGGAAAAATTTTGTTTCAGATTTCCGGACACTTGCAAAATACCGGACAGTTTTTGGTGTTTAGAGCGGACAGGGAAGCGAAGATACGCGTTAACATAACGGGCGGCCCGCTCGCTTATCATTATCAGTTCGAAGAAATATATATTCATTACGGACTGGACAACGCTCACGGTTCCGAACATCAAATCAACAACTACGCTTTTCCCGCCGAGGTGAGTATAATGCGTGTCAAATAAAAGTACTAAAAAAAATTTCGAAAGATTCTGCGCAAACAAACAAAAAAAAACAATTAAAGAGAAAATGTTTTTTTTTTTTAACTTCAGCAATATTAGAAATATTTGTTTGTTACGCTTTTTGACGAAGTCTCACTTAAGTCAATTACTTCCATGCGCTCTGGTATATCAAATAAGAGAAAGAGAAATCATTTTCAAATGCGCGCCAAGCCGAGTTAACTCGCTGCAATTTTCGTCGTATTTGTTTAAAAGTGCTTGAATTTTTAACGTACAGTTTGCATGAAGAAAACCCATTTCGGAGATCAGGTTTCCGAGCGGATTTCGAATTAATTAGAAATTGATGCACGTTTCACTTCTTGCTAATATCGGATTCTCTTTTCCTTCTTCGGGGAAACTATCCGCACGTATTTCGCAAAGAACATTTGCAAAGAAAAACTGCCTAAACATGACAGAAGAAAAAAATTTGCGTGTTGGGAGATTAAAAAAAAAAAATAAATAAATAAATTTTACACGTTCGAGAATTGACGTTGGCAAAACGATCGCCTCGTACGAGCGAGGGATGTTGCACCTATTTCGTTTTGAATTTGTAATTGCGCGTTCGCTTTATTAACTAATTATAATTTATATGATATTCTACCGTGAAATGAGACTTACAACAACAACAACAACAACAACAACAACTGCAGTCCGGGGTTTTCGGTTACGTTGTAACACCGCAAACGCGGTGTAGACAATCATGAAATTCTAATCATGCTATTGTCCTAGAAATCGCTTTACAAAGCGACAAATAATTAGGATTATCGTGTAATTTGCAGTTTGCCAATTAATTATAACCGCAGCGCAGTCGTGGCGCCGTGTCTGTGACACACAGGCATACCCCCGACGCGCATCGGTTCCCCTCGTAAAATTTCTACATATTGGCGTACGTGATTTTATTCGCGAATGAGCTGTACACACAAAATCATTGAATGTGAAACGAGAACGGAGAATGACCCGAGAATGACGATATAATTAATTGAAATTAATTACGTGCCGGCATCGTAACGAGACAAATTAAACATTCGTTAAACGGGACATGACGGCGGCCCAATTAACTATGACCCGCTTATTTCTCCCGAAAACACAACTTGCATCCCACACCATGTCTCTTCTTCCCTCGATTGCGATTTAATTTTCTTAAATCTCTAAATAATCGCACGCGGTTTGCCTACGTGCGTCGCGTCGTCGTGCTAATGCTGCAAGTTTCTCAACCGCGAGGAGAAATGATCGCAGCGATAGTTGTGACAATTGTCGCTTGTATAGTGGATTTTTTTTTTTATCGCAATTCCCATTCTTCGAAAAATAAATCAATTATCTTCGATATCCATCGAAAGATAAATTCTTGCAGAAAAATACGCAATAGGATGTTGTACGCAGAGATTCGACATGAGAGAGAGAGAGGTAGGTGGGTATTATATATAGCGAGTATTCGCTAAAAAATTGAACTCCCCCGGAAGCGCGCGGGCGCGCTTGAATTGACGGAAATGTAATATCGATTAGTGCTCTCGTAAATACAGGTCGAAGGATACTTCTCTTCGTCTTTTTTTCTTAATGACTAAAAAGGGCAGATTAATGAATCCGCGCAAGCAGGACGTAATTATCGAGAATCGATAATCAAGAAGTCTAAATGCATTTGTAGAATGTCGAATCGATGATATACACTACCAACACGAATTTCACATTTATTAAAACTCGGCCGCACATAAAACTCAATATGCCAATAATAACTAACTTTCGGGCCGGCAAATCCTTTCAGACGGTGATAATGAGTTGTAAGTATCTCGACGGTAATTTAAATCGAATATTGCAAATACGGTTAAACGGAGGAGCAACCGAGTTGCGATAAAATTTTCGTTTGCACCTTATTGCAGTTTTTTGCCGTCAGAAGAATAGTTCGCTTCCCCTGATCGATTTCATAAATAGAAAGAGTACAACTTCATTTACAACAAAAACTCCCACGCTACCGTTATCTCTTTCTCTTGCGAATTTTTTTCGTAACGTTTTAACGTGTGTATAAATCGACACAAAGTTAATCAACACACTACGTAATTCACGATGTTGTAATTATCGTTTCTTAAACAATTTATTACACAATTTATTAATAAAGTTTTTAATACGCGTAATATTTTGATGTGAAAAGGATTAATTTCTCTGTATGAAAGCTTCTGATAAATGTGCTCATTCGGTGCAGCACACATTTTGCGTTTAATTTATTTAAATCTTGATATAAAAAGATACTTTTAACATAATAATTTAATAAATGAAAAATATCTTTGTAATTATAACAACCTTGGATAATATTATCGAGAATTAATAATTCTTCATTGTCACTGCGTGTTTTTGGTATCAGACTTGTTTTAAGCGCGAAAGGAGTTTATAATAATAGAGAAATAGTTTTCATCGTTTTGAACCTACATGTTTTATAACAAAATTCAAGATTTCTTTACTTGGATACAGATTCGAATGTTTCGACCGTTATTCCAAAAACGCACGACGTAAGATGTGTGTCACGAGGCAAATCTCGAAAATATCGATCTCGTGCATGTATATACATATAAATATTCCTCCTCTTCGGATACGCGCGTGTGATATCAGGCGCGTTACGGGAATAGAGGAATGTTTGAATATCGCCTAGCTCACACACACACACACACACACACATACAAGATACAAGGAATTTAGATGCGCAGTTTCCAATTCGAGAGTGCATTTTTATTTTGAACACAAATACGAATCTCCAGAGGGATATACGGAGTTTCCATCTTGAACGCGCGTTTGGATGTTTCGCTATTATCGCCGTGTTTCGAAAAGAGACGCTCGGAGACGGACACACGTGTAACGCGCGACCTAATCGTCTTTTTTTTCCTCTCTTTTTTTGTGTCCGCCAAAATTCACGATATCCCGTGATTTACTGGCGGGGGGAGGGGGAAGAGGGGGCGCTGAGTGAAGAGAAGAGAGAAATCGCGAAACACGTTGCTGTTTCGCAAAACACCAGGAAAAGCGCCAAATGCGCGGGGGAGAGAGAGGGAGGGGAGGTAGGTGGCCATTATATTATATATCTTTGCGTCCTCCTCGGTGTGAGGAACGGGCTTTCAATGGCCCCGTGAATCAAAGCCAGTCATCTACCATCGTACGGTCTAACGCCCCTCGTCGTCGTAGCTTACTCTCGCCGCTTCTCTATGTGCCGCCGCTACGCGAGCGTATACGTGAATTAATTTCGGTCGTTGCAAGAAGCGCAGATCCGGCGCACGTTCTCGTTCGCCAAATCTCGGACGGAGGGAGAAGAAAATCCATATCCGGATTCGCTAATTTTAATGTAACGTAACGTAACAATATTGCGTTTTGTCACTTTTTTTTTTTTATGTTATGTTTAAAAAATATTCTCGAAAATATGTTTTTCGAGTGTGTTTGCGAGCGAGAAAAGTCTTCGATCTGAAATTGAGATCGCATTCTTGCGCGACGCTCGCAATCGCGCGTATCGAATTTCGGAAATACACAGACACATTATCTGGAGTTGGGAAAGTGCTGATAGTTAGGTGGATAAAATACGATGCGATAATCGCGCCGGTATGTAACGTTATAGTCAATAAAGAGAGCGTAACATGTTTATTGATCATTAATTCAGTGCTCCCGGCGGGAAGTGCAAACACAATTACATTCGGTATCGGCGCGCGGAGCATTATGCCAAGTGTACCGTAATGCCAAGTGTTCGATAGGCGTCTGTGTATTCAATGACAAAAGTTGCTCTATCTCAATTTAGAAAGAGACCGCGACTTTTGAACGAAAGTCTCTACCGATATGTAAACAAATTGAGAGACTGCAAAAATATAAAACGTCGATTTTCTCTTTCCGTTTCCGCTGTTGATTTGTCGACGCTGATTCCACGCGTGAAAAAAAAATTATAACTTCCCCGCTGGCAATTTCTAAACTTACACGCAACTCAACCAGGAATAATTTTTTATTTGCAAAAAAAATATGTATCTCTTATCTTTCAATCGATATTTTATTGTGCACGAAGAGAAGAAAATAGTTTCTCGCTGCTCTCAGAACAGAGCTAGCACAAGCTTGTGCTATTTGGAATGTGTGTTACGGTGGCGTGTGTGTTGTGTAGCAGTTACGGCGCGTTAAAAAGCCGAGCGATTAATCAGTCCGGCGGTGAAGGGTCCCGCATAGCTCGGCAACGTCAAAGGGACGCGAATAATTCAAGCTGCAACGGTATCTTAGCCGCGTAAACACGGCGACGGCGGGCCCGCAGGATCATGGCTGGGCGTTGGCAGCGCGCATAATGAAATCTGCATTAATACGTGTGCCCAGAAAGCCCCCGGGGGAGAGCGAGACAGGGACGAGAAGAGAACTCGGAGGAGAAGGAGGGGTGTAGGGTTGGCGGTTAGCGGCTGGGCGCGTTGGTTTGGGTAGACGGTTTCGGGTTTGAAAGCCCGGACGGAGGAGACAAGAGGATTCCAAGAGGCACGACACTCGAGCGAGTCTGACCCATTACCAGCGTGTTTGAGGGACGAGCCGCTTTGATGCCGAAAGCCTACTCGAGAAGCAGCTGATGGAGTGCCTCGAGTGCGCGCTTCTCGAATGGGGTTTGTCCCTTGTCCCTGCCCCTTGCAACCATCCGGGAAACGGATGTCCATGGGAGTGCCTATTTCTGCCTATCCCTATTCCCGTTGGGCAGGTCGTCCCTGTCGAGACCGTTGGCCGAATTTATGGCCACCTGCTCAAATTGGGCAAATCGCGCGAGCTGCGTGTTATTGTTCGTCATCGATCACAAACGCAAGAAATGTCGGGAGGGTCGCGCGAGTTTACTCAGCGCGTCTTCAAATTGAAATAAAAAAACAAAACAACTCGGGGATAGTGTGACAAACAAAAAATAGGTTTGAATAGAGTATCCGATCGAAGAGATTTTTTAATCAAATCACAGTCACACGATGTGA